CATCAACCATAAAGCTACACTGAACATTATCATCAACCATGAACCTACACTGAAAATGATCATCAACCATGAACCTACACTGAAAATGATCACCAACAGTAAAACTACACTAAACATTATCATCAACCATAAAGCTACACTGAACATTATCATCAACCATGAACCTACTCTGAAAATGATCACCAACAGTAAAACTACACTGAACATTATCATCAACCATAAAACTACACTGAACATTATCATCAATAATAAACCTACATGTACACTGAAATTTTGGCATAAACCATAGGCTAATGTGGCCAATTGTCATTAACCTGTTTAGCGTATTTTCTTCAACTTTATCTGAATCGTCTCCCGTTTTACCTGTTCAAAATTTTGTCTCATCCTATAAGGAATTTTTTCTGTCACCCCAAAAAGAGAGTGACAGATTGTGCGTAGTTGGCAGCAATACTATGACGTCATAAGATATAAATACTATTTTGACGTCATAAGCGTTTCTTGACGGGAGAGGTCATGCACAAAACTCAGGATAATAGATTACAATTATTGAAAACCATTGTTCTTAAATATAGTTTTTGGATGATGGAAGAAAAAATATTCACCCTCTATCTTGAGAGTGCAACAGAGAAATCTCGACCTCTTTGGTGATTATTTGGTTGTATAACCCTTGGCAGAGCCTCGGGTAAGACTACTAAAATCTATTACCTGTAACTGTGCGAGATTTGGTTATATCAAGCGAGGGCTAAGATTCTGTAACAGTATCCCAACCGAAGCGTAAGCCGAGGTTGGGATGTTACATAATCTTAGCCTGAGAGTGAGATAAACAGATCTCGCTCAGTTACAGATATTACAATTTATTTGCATCTTGCTAGAGACTACAAGTAACCCGTCTGGGGCCTCATTTAAATTTCGAAATGTTTTACAGTGTAGATTATATTTTATCTACAACATCAGACAACTAACTACATACTTTACATCACAACAAACCATATAACGATAAAACATAATATGTTTAATGCAGATTGTCAATATCGAGTCGTTTACGCGCGAATGAATACGTCGCTGTGTAAGAATTCCGCGAAATGTCACGTGAAGGTACCAGACAGGTCGGACGACATACAAAGTCTAGCATGGGGTATGTGATAGGATATCTCTGTCTGAGGTGCGAAAAACCAAATGAATCAGCCCCAGGTTGGTAATTTCTCTGTCACAACATCAAGTAGGGTAGATTATATTATCGTAAAAACAATCTTCACAGATAATTACCATCAACCATAATCTAAGAGGGCAGATTTTGAGCTTATGACCATTGCCTTGTAGGAACATATTCAAATTTAACAATACTAAATATATACTTCCTCAATCTATTAGGAACTTTTTCGACGTTAACAATTTAGAACATAAATCATAATACCTCATTCTAATAGGACACTTTCCCACTTCACCAAAGTGGAATTTACTATACCTAAAACGAAAAGGACAATTCCTCACTTCAACAATATGGAATAGATAATAACTCCACCTAATAAGATAATTCAATACTTCAACAATAAAATATATATTATACCTCAACATAATAAAGTACTATTCTACGTTAAACATTTCTGTAAATAGAACATGTATCTAAGTCGACCATGTTTATACGCATTAGAGCAGGACGTGCCAGGGACGAGGCAGGAACGTGTTTTATGGACTTATATTTGATAAGTGTGATGGCTAGAATGTGAACTGCAACGTTTTTAATAATCATGGCGGTGCTTTGTGTCATACCAATTTTGTCAATAATTGATTAAGTGGTGATTTATTCTATGTAACTTGTATATACATGTTAACCTTGATCGAGTGTCCATTTACAGGACTGCTGACATTTTCATCTACTATTCCATAGTTATATTTTACAGAATCGTTTTCCACATACTCATTGCAATACCAATCCATTACTCTCTCCCCTACTCCCGTAATTGTTCTGTTGTAAATATCACTTCATTCTTGTAGCTAGTGTTGAAAAGTTGATTATTAAGCAGGTAACAAATTTACATAAGTGTCACGACAATTGTTTTTGTTTCCTTTTCTTTTCTAAAAACATGTTCTTCGATGTATTGTCAAACACAATTTGAATAAAACAAAGTTTGAACCAAGCAAGCTGTTACACATTCAATTAATTTTATTAATTCAGTTTGTAATGGCAATATATTCTGCAAAACTATAAGCTTTTATTTTCATGACAGCGTTAGCCTGTTGCGAGCAGCGTTGAGCAATTTGCCATTGACCACAGATCTTTGAATAGGCCGGATGTCACCCGAGAAAGGAGTTGTTTTAAACTAAAAGGTGAGTAGTCTTCCCATCATCATAGACTTGCGTAGCCATGTTTTCATGGACAACCGCTGAATGAGAAAAGGTCATTTCATTTATAATTTATATATAACAGCCCCGGCTTATGGTCTATATATCACCGTGTTAACGGTCTTATAAACATGGTTTGTTACAAATACATATTGTTACACATTTTATTTACATTAAAAGATGCTGGAGAAGTGAATGCGAAAGATGTTTTCAAAGTTATCTGGTGATAAAAAACAACAAATTATTGTATTTCTTTGTTTACAATATCATAAATAATTCCTTTTGTGCACATCTGCGAACAGAACAACAAATACAATGTAAATTTCGAATTAAGCGTACTCTTCTGAATACCTTTAGTTACACACAACTGTACACACGTCACCATGGCGCAAATGTCCAAAGCCTTGTTAGCTTTATTAAAATTTAACTGAACTTTTTTCATCCAGTACATATTCTCAAATATCAAAAAAAAAAAAAAAATAGTATTTATACACATGTACATTGGGATTCATGATCATTGTATTAAGACAAGAAAAACAGCAATAGTTGTAAATTTTCTCAAAAGTTTAATTAGAAAAAAATATCATTATTGGACTATTAAGCAAATCAGTTATTGTCAACGGGGTCCAAATGCCATAGTCCAAACGTCATCCTAAATAAAACAAAATAAAACGTTTATGAATGGAACGTGTAGCCTCTTAAAACCACTCTTGTTTCCAGTGTTGATCGACTATCGTACATGTAATATCTAAGTATGTATACTATTCTAAGTCAATTCCTTCTGCCTGAAAATAAGACACATTCAAATTTCAGTAAAATATCTATAACCACATGCTGTAATACATATGAAGAAGAAAATCTAATGTAGGAAAATAAGTGTTGCTGCTAGACTGTCACATAAACCCATTATGCAAACCGGTATATGACCTCGTATAGCCATTACGGTCATTATACGTATGCATGTTGCAATTAATGAAGAATGGAATTGACCTGCAAAGACTCCTCAGGTCATAAAATAAATAATTCATATGCACTTTGTATATGTATGAGCGCTTCGAAAACAGGATATTCAGGTGGGCTTGGACATCAATTATGCGCTTGTTATGTGTATTTACAAATATGGTGAAGTTGCAAGAATCCTTATAATTTTTTCAAGATAATCGGATGAAAATCGGTACAAAGCTCCTTAAACATTCGGAATTAGATTTACCAGTTTGGTATAACTAACAAAGGCTAAGTAAAGACATCGGTCATTTGCACTTTTGCTTGACAAAGGAAACGTACGTTTATCGAAAGCTCGCAAAACAAGTTTTCATTTTCCTGTTTGTGTTTAAAACTAACTTAGCCTTTATAGTTCCTCAACTATTAAATAATGCAATATTCCTTTCAAATAGGAAAATTTACCATATTTTGCTTTTATTCTACTGCTTGCCTTAATACTTTTTTTTATGAAACCTTCTATCCAAAATTGATATGAACCTGAATACTCAGGAACTGAGGAGACACCAATACAATACAGTAGAAAAAAACAACGTGAACTTTCACAACGATCCTAAGACGAAATCTGGGCCCGTATTCATGAAACCCTTCTCGTGCTCAAGCATGGATGTTGTGCTAAAACCATCTGTATGTGTGCATCTTGTATAAATCATGGAACAGAATAAAAAACAATCAGCTGAAAACATTTAAAAATGTATTAGGCTTTAAGATTCATAAAATGAAAAAATCTGAGTTTGAACATGAGAACTGTTTCCTAAATACACGCCCTGGTATCCATGACGTTGTGAATGTTGTCATCACCTTATGTGGTACCTGTCATGACGGCCTACGTTAAATGAAGGAGGGATTTCGAAAGATCTTGACTTATTGACTCCTCCTCATGTGAGATACGCCTAAAATGCTAACGCTTAATACATTTATTTTCGTTGAATCCATCGAAACTGTAAACATGACCTTTAACAGTTAATAAGTTATTGTTATTGTATTTTCATTTGTCGATTTAAACATAATTTATTAGAAGAAATGACTTCCTTTTTGCACCTGGATTTTGTGGTGTCTGTAATGCAAATCTGGTGGATCAACATTCTAATCCAAATCGTCAATGCCCATAACCACTTTTGATATAGTTTTCAAGTCTTCTTCCATTTAATATTGATTCTAGTTCCCGTTGATCGCCGAGTTTTGCTTTTATAAAGTCGATGACATGAATAACGACGATACTGAATGTTGACATCGCCATCTGTGTCGTACACAATACAATTCTGCTGAGGTCAAACAAGGGTCACTCGCATCGTTCAAATAAAGGTCAACAAATTATTATCAACTAAAAGACACATGTTTTACGACTGTAGGGACAAGAATGAGCTTCTTGACATTTTTATCACATTGTTAAGTCTCCTTTATTAACTGTCCACTGTAAGCGCTCAATAAAACATTGTGCTTAAAATCTACAACTATCTATCTGGAATAGAAAAGGGTTTCCGTTAATAATCTCCTCCAATGGAAATGCTATGTGATCACAATATAGCTATAATAGAAGTCAGTGACGCGTGGAGAATCTTTTATATAAAACCTAAATGGCATCACATGACCATCATGCACCTGCATATGTGATTTATAAAGTATTCTCTTCTTCTCAGTAGAAGATATAAATCGATTCATATAAATAGTGTTTTCACTGGTGCGTATAACACACTTCTCGACACTTAAAAGAAATATCATTCAGTGTTTATACAACGTTTGTAAGTTGATTTAATGCAGATAATGTCCGGCTGTGGATACTTCGTTTTCTGAACAAGACCTCTATGAGACATAACACACTCATGTAAGGCTTTCCAGGGAGAGGCTATACATACAGAGACCAGAGTTTGTGTGGAACGTAATTTGCCTCAGAAAGACATACAGCTCTCAGGTAACCTTAGTCAATATTGCTACTGTATAACATATTTTGTTACAGCTGGTCATATGATGCACTATCTAATTACTTTTTTTGATATTCGGCATCACGAAAATCATTTTAAAACAGGTAATTTCCCTTTCTTTGTACTTCTTGTGATTGTACTTAATATAAAGAGAAACCTACCCCTGTATGATCGGTGATGTTATAACAAAACTGTTAATTGGACCAACTAGTGATGATTAGTAACAGTATCCGCTATTGGATCAACTAGAGATAAGAAGCAGTAGTTGGTATAGGACCTACTTGTTATACCAGTGATCGTTATAAGACTGATCAGTAATTTATAACTGTGAGTGTCTTTTTGGCTAAATTTTAATGATATATCAATGTTCGTTATCAGATTAATTAGTAAATTATGACAGTGATTGTAATTAGACCGACTTGATATATCAGTGATCGTTATAAAGCAAACATGTTGCGTAATAACAGTGATTGTTTTATATTAATTAGTGATTTATAACAGTGGTCTGGTTGGTTATACCAGTGAGAGTTACATTATAAGGTGGTCAGGTGACGCAGTGGATACACATGTAACACACTCGCCTTTCACAAAGGCGTTCGGGGATCGATTTCCCGATCGGACGTTGAAAAGTATTGGGTCACATGCAAGGCTATATGGGTTTTCTCCGGGTAATCCGCCCCCTTCCCCCAATCCGGGTCAAAATTAGAGATTAATATAACTTAAAATTATTGTTGTAAAATGTAAGATATATATATATACTTATTGTTACTGAAGCAGCTTAATGATTTATAAAAGTGATTTATTTTGCACCAAAGTGATGGTTTGTGACAATTCCTTGACCATATAGCTATCATTATAATAGTGATTGCTAATGGACAAGAGACGACATTTGAACAGGTGCTTTTTAACAGTGACTGTCACGGACTGCAGATGTGTGCATTCATGTGTTTCATAACAAAACTGATCGGTGTTCATAACAAACCAATGCGTGAATAACTCGGTAGTTTTAAACGCCGGCGAGTTTTATACAACACTCTTTAAAAGGATAACAAAAAGCGGCATGTTACGTATGTGTATTTAAACATGAACGTTATATCAACGACTAGCATAGACGAAATGACACAGACAGACATAGACAGAGTTCATAGAGATGTGTATGTGCTCATATAAACTGTACTGAGGAAAGTTGATAATCATTCCTTCGGGTAAGTAATGCCATTTAACATACATTTAAGGCATTTTCGTTTAGAAGAATGTATTGTCACACGTAAAATATATTTTCACATGCATTTCTGTTCCAATAATCATCTTCAATTTGTAAATGTCATTGTCATTGTAAATTAATACCTCCATTTTAGTATATTGGCGATAACCTGTTCAACGCAATGTAGTAATAAAGAATTTTAAAAGACATGTTTCAACACTGCCAATACTTACGTCATTGTTTGATGAACTAAAACCCTTCAGGAAGCAATGACCCTTATTTGCATAAGCAGACAAAACGTGCTTTTTGATAGCTTGACATAGTAGTGAGGCAGAATGTAACCAATGAAGTTGCTTGTATTGTGTTTTGGCTATAGATCCATTCCTGAGTTGAAGATGATAAAGTACATGTATATATAAATGTATCTAAAACACCTTTCAGATAAATAATAACTGAACAAAAACTTAAGTTTCACCTGATAATAAGGGTTTCAAGTTTCTAGTATTTTGTTAACCAAATGCAATTCAGCATATAGGTAATGGTAGAAGGAGCATAATACTAAATAAATATTCACTATAACGGGGCAAAGGGCTTTAACAATCGACACACTTTCAATGTCACAGGGGTCAAATGTGTCAAGAGTATTTGAACAACTTCTGAATAAGCAATCGGTTTAAAATCATGATTTTAACATGTAGCATGAAATTCTATAGGGCAATCATTGTTGCTCATAATATACTATGTCACCAACGACCAAAGTCACCGAGGTCATATGTGCTGAAATCTTCAAACACACAATGAGGTCAAAGAGTAACAATATTCTGCCAGTATAATACTCGGGTGAAAAAGTGTCAATCGTGTTATTATAAATTATTTTGATCCTCTTACAAGGTCACGAGGGTCAAAGGTAAAACCTTCCAAACCATTTCTATCAAAGATTTATGAAGTTTTGATGTTAAAATTTAGCATGTACCTTGTAGTTACACACTGTCATGTTTGTTGAAATAAATGACCATGGCCATTTTTTCAATGCCACTTGAGTAATGTTAGTTATATGTAGAATCTTCAAACAAAGACACATAAGGCATAGAGTACTGAAGTCAATCTTAAAGGATGAGCTTATTTGTTACACTGTATAATCTTTGCATTGAAAAAATGTCTTGAAGATGACCCAAATGAGACGTGATAATAACATAAGTGAATAATAGATGGGGGGGGGGGGGGGGGGGAAACACGCCCGTTCGACCTTTTGTTTCTTCAAAAAAAGTATTTTCTCATTTAAGTTCAGCTTAAAAAAACACTTAAACTAGAGCATGACTGTTTGTTTGACTATTTGGCAAATGTTTTGAAAAGTCTGTCAAAATGTTTAATAATAATTTATAGTTAGCATAAAGGTCCCCTGTCCCTAGGTAGGCAATACACTAGAACATTCCATTGTTGAGTTTTGTACATGCCGTAATTTAAACTCAATTTTCTTTTTGAATATAATTGCCAAAAAATAATTCATAGGTACATTTGGCAGTGAAACCGTAAGTAATTCATTGGATATCTAAATATAATACCATGTTTTTTTGCAAGCAAATGACAAGGTCAGGTAAAAGTGGATTTGTCCCAATAACAATTCAAGATTAAAAATCAAAAATCGATTAAGTGAATTTGTTTAATGTTAGAAGTCATGGGCCTTATAACTTACCATACGAAATAGGCTAACATATCTTTTTATGACGAAATATGACACTCGAAATGACTTCTTAATTAGATGTAAAATAAATCAAGGCTAAAAAATAACATATTTTAAATGAGGAATATTTGTTTTTAAATATGATAAGTAATGCTTTACTTCGAGATAAATTAATAAAATTATTGCACCAGCTTCATCATCTTAATTAGCAGGAGGTGAGTCTACGGTTCTCATCTTACTGACATGTTTTACGGCATACAGTGAAGTGGTCAACTTTCTAGAATTTGGCAGTGTTGCGGTCTGTGGTAGGCTTTTCCACAGTTGACAGCAGTACTGTCACCTTCCTCGCAAAGAAAAGTGCTGAGGTCAACGTCCCAAAATTTGACAGTACTGTGATAAACCTTTCCACAGTTGCAATGTCATGGTCAACTTAACCATAGTTGACAGAACTGCGGTCAACTTCCCCTCAGTTGACAATGCTAAGGTCAGCTTCCCCACAGTTGACAATGATATGGTCGACTCCCCCACTATATACATTCCTATCGTCAATTTTCCAACATTCGACAATGCTGTTGTCAAATTCACCACAGCTGATTATGCCTAGGTCGGCTCCCCTACCATTGACTGGTTAAAGTTATGGCATCGGGATGCATGAACCAACCCTATTAAGTAAGTGGCACAAAACATCGATAATATCTGCCTGTCTTTAACTCGCTTTCATGTTTAACATGGCTCTGTATTAGACCTTTCTCATTTTGGGGTACACTTAACACGGAGCGTGTAGACAGATACCCAGACAATCAAAAACAGGGGTCATTTCAAAAATAATTGTATTTGGAACGTAGCGTATAGGGTATATGAGAGTGTGTAGACGCACATGTGAGTGACTACAGGTAAGCGAACAGGTAAGCAATGATGTAATCGGTAACCACAGTCGTTATAGTATTTTTCGTGGCTCAATGCGGCAGGTACAGTTTATGTGACCGTGGTAATTGAAATGTCAATATCTTGTTAAGGATCTCACCCGGGACGTCTGTTGTATTTTTCTGACGCCGATTGAGTAATCAGTTGGAAGAAGTTTGTTTTTTACCAGAGTGACAGGGATCACATTTTTCAGATTAAATTTACCATCCACAAACTTCTTAGGACACGATATTCCATATTACGAAAGAAATGTTTAACGCTTACACGTTTTTATAATAGCGTTATCCTGAAGGTACTTGTTACACACATTTTCGTCACATTTGTGTATAGAGGTGGTTGGACAAAAGGACGTTTATAAGCATCCCTTCGTGACAAAGAATCGTTTATGAATGTTCCTTTGCAACAGTAACATGATAAACACAACCAAAATACCAAAATATTTAAATATGACGAGGGGGGGGGGGGGGGGGGGGGTCAATATGAATCATAATTTAAAAACAATCTTTTCTGAAAGAAAACCCAGTAAGGTGAGATCAGCCTAGAGAAGTTTATCCGTTGTGCATGTAATGAAAATCAGGGGATGTTACTGTAGGTAAGGAGCACTAAAATATCGTTATTTAGTGTTTTGTCGCAAGCAGCGGACAGGAATCCTTAATACAGAAGAAATGAAAAATAATTTTGAGATGTTCCCTGATTGTACTACTTTCAGTGTCCGTCTCTGGCTCCGTGGTAGGTCTGCCTCAAAATGAGAAATGTCTATTAAGACGTGTATCACAAACTTTTATGAATCAGTAAATATTTAAGACTATACATATACGAAATGGTTACATGCTGATGGCTTTTCCCTGAAGATAGATGTTTTACAGTTTCATCGTGTAACCTATAGATAATCTGACATTAAAGTGAAGAAGCCATATACCTAAACGTCTTTTTGATATCTCGATGTGTGTTTTAGTAAAAAGAACATATTTATATATTCAATAACTATGCATTTATAAAAATAACATTTCTGTTAATATCAATTATAGGTTATAATCACTCCGTATATACCATATACCCGCAATCAATATTGGGCATCCTTTATTGAAAATCATCTTAGCGTCCGTTCTTCACTTATGTTATGACACAAAAATTATAATTTGTACAACGAACATTTGACTTTAATGAAGTGTTAACTTAAAAACCTGAATATTTCTGTAATTTAAGTAATTAGGTCAACATATTGTCAAGTTTTCTTAATATCCGATAACTATTCAAAAACAAACCCAATTTGTCATTTATAAATTCGACAAGTTAAATACCCCGTACATAAATGTAACATCCTTGAGCCATGATAGGGATCAAAGTTCTGACATGAAATGCTTAAGTCTGACAACCCCAAATAGCTCAATAATGGACATCACGATATTAATTAAATGTACATGTAGTTGTATAATGTTGTTTTTCTTTTTATTTCAAATTGAGGTATTTTTGTGTGTGTTCTTATAAAATACTATCTGATATATTCTGATATTACATCACAATGAACTTGCATGTTCATGTATACAATATCTTTTTTTATATAGAGCTTCTACTGATTCGTAAAAATGTCGGCGACCAGTGCGTATTTAGAAAGCCTGTTAGACGAGACCGGGGGATTCTCCAGATTCCAGGTTCTCATGTTCTCGTCCGTGAGCATGAGCAAAATAGGACCCGTATGGAGCATGCTCGTCATGACGTTTGCCGGCGCGATTCCATCATGGAGTTGTGAAGATGACGTTCACAATGTGACATCATACAGGCATTCAAATTCTATAAACAGCACGTTGAATTCTGCACAAGATTTTGGAAATGCATCCTTTCAACAATGTTATACTTCTGTGAACTCTACATCAGACACATGTATGAGCTTCCGCTTTGACGAGGGTATGAACACTGTCGTAAGTGAGGTGAGTTTAATTACAATGGATAAACAATATTCTCGTTTTTACTTGGTCACACATTATCTACCAACAGTAACGTTTTACTTTAGTCATTCTCTAGGTCATTTGCCAACCAGCTCATCGCCGACATAGACATACAAATCGTCATTTCCTTTTTGCTTTATTAAACTATTCTAGATCCCATAAGATGTACCACTGAATTGTAATTACGTTACATCAAATTTTACGTTTTAAATGTGAGCGCACATAATTTGATTCTTAAAAGCAATATGAAATGAAAATATATAACGATAATTGTATACAATGAAGGGAAAAAACCAGAAAAAAGACACGTAAACATTATTAAAGGGTAACATTTAAACTCTAAACCAAATGAAAGTGATGAGAAACTAAACGAAATTGGAAGCATAATAAACTACAGATGGACGAACTTTTTCTCCATCACATGTGGTACCCTTCATAATGTATCCCGTCTAATACAGGTCTCAAGTGATCTTAAACACTGGGAACAAGATTTAAATTCTGGTTACCACAGACATTGATTCACGTTGAAATGCGTATACTCTGTTTTGCCCGACCCCCACCCCCACCCCACCCCACCCATATTCATTAGTTTCAATTCAACATTTATTTTATGGGGTTTTTTTTCTATTCCGTTTTTATCTTCTCTCTCTCCTTCCTCCTGTTTTCATATTTCTTTTTATGTACTCAGAATGTTGACTCACTTATCTCTTCTTATGTAAAATAATGTCTGTATATATACTGGTACATGTCATATATCTATATATACAGATCTATAGTCAATTAAATAAAGTCTATAGAATATTAGAATGGTGTTAATTTTCATGATTGTATTAGTATGTGCCGTTAATCTAAACCTTCTACTCTTATCTGGTGCCTCGCACAGAGCCTTTTGACCATCGTACTTTTTTCTGTATTTATTAATTCTGATTTTTTTGCTCTCTTATTGGTTAATTAAATTTTTAATTCTACTGTCTCCTTTTTATTCGCTTTATCTATTTTGCTTCTTCTATCGTGTAGATTTTATGCGCTTATCTGTACATCCGTTAACTTTCACTTCCATTCCTTTTTCTCACTTTGTAAATATGTGTATGTGTGTATTAAATTTTCGTAAAAGTTACTTTTGTTAACTATACCATAGCTCATCTCGGATAGAAGTGGTTTTACCAATGTATTTGTTAAGTTTCGGTTATCCTGGCCAATCATACCGAGAGCGCAGCTTCCGTGTTGGTCATATCAACTCTTACCACTTCAGCCGAGCCATCGATATCATTGACCAGGCTATGCACTCTATCTATTCCGGAAAATATGTCCGAGTGGCGGTAATCTTCCTAGACTCATCTGATTGGCCCGCTTTCAGAATAAAGTGATAAACATTCAGACGATCTGATTAAAACAAATTGAGAAGTACACATAATGTCGCTAGTGGAACGTTAACACTTCGTTAAATTGTAAAATATCACTAGCGGATGCTACATATCAGTTAATCGCGAGTGTGGCATTGTGAACTTTCGAAATATCGGGACACTTTATGACCAATATGTTTTTGAAGTCTGCTATCAACAAAATTGAAGTCTGCTATCAACAAAATTATGGGATGCGATCGTACTAATATGTTCATTTTTGGTGGAGTATATCTTCTGAGTCAGTCATACGTAACATTTATGAATGCAAAGGAAATATAAACCCATTTTACTTAACCCATCCTACCGTTAAGTACAAATATAATGTGGCGTATTTCCTGCTCCTTCACCGAAAGTTTTATCTCTAATTCAGGTCATGGATTATAAAAGATAGCTTTGATAAAATATCAATGTCTCTCAAAGTTTGCCGCCTCACCATGTTGAAATGAACGATATCAAGTCTTTGACAGTACTGAAAACACCCACATTAAGCAGATTTTTTATATTTGCGATATTCGAAATATCGCCACCTTAAGTTCATCATTTTTCGTTAGAGAATAAGCAATAACTATCACCTGACATTTTATGTTAAGTGAGACATTTATACCCCAAAAATTTGTTCACGTAAAAAATACCGGGACAATTTAAAACAGTTAAAGTAAAACGCTTTGCTGTACTTTAAATACAGAATAGTTTATTTTTAATTTCTCAATATTTACAAAGAAAAACAAACAACAACAAAACCTGAAATTGAGGAAAGGCATTAGAACGATGACATGTATACATGTACATAAATACTGTAGATAATTATTCTTTATTTTTCATGAATGTCTCTTCAAATACCATTTGTTTGTTAATTATACAGTGTGCCATATCAATACATTATGTGTTTGGCAGTTTGATTGCAAAAACCACATTTATATTTATCATTATAACGAAGATGAGGTTTCTGGTCATATAGTTTACCATAAGCTGGTGACACGACCGTTGCCACTGTCTGGCTGGCTTAACATTGTTTTACATTTCTATACTGTTTTATTATTGACTATTAAATTATTTACCTTCCTTTGCGATATTCTATATGGCTTTATGTTTACCATAATATGCACATGATCTGTATATATATATAAGTATATATGCATTTACCTTGTTATATCTGTTATATGCGTTCCCCTTGTTTCACCGTGTCTTGTTTTTCCTTTTAACATTTTACTGCCCTACCTTAGTTCGTCTACTTCATGTAACCTTGCCATGTCTCACCGTTCCGCACCATCCCTTGCTGGATATTTTACTACCTTACCTTAGTAAATATACTTTATGTACTTTATTTACATGGTCTTGTTTTACATTTTCGAATTTGAATGTACCATGTATATCATTTCCTAACGTAATGCGGATAATGTTCTCTCACCTTACCTGGCTTTGATGTTCCATGCACAGTTTGACTCTTCCTAACAATGCTATTTTGTTTCGACAGTGGGGTTTGATCTGTGACAAGGACTGGGTATCCTCCACCATTACAACAATCCAGATGACTGGACTGCTCATCAGTGGAATAACAGCTGGTCACATAGCGGACGGAATCGGCCGAAAGCCGACCTACTTCATGGCTTTACTGATTCTGGTTACTTGCAATGCGATTGCTGGATTTTCTGTTTCTTGGAAAATGTTTGCAGCCATGCGCTTCTTACTTGGATTCGGAACCGGATGTTACCTGACGGTATTTTATACGTTTATGATGGAGTTCACGCCTTCAAAACACAGACCCGTTGTCGTCGCCTTCCCTTCCTGGGCCCTCTGGGCATGCGCATTCGGCTTCCTGTCAATGTGGCTCCATGACTGGCGTTATATCCACTTCGCTACAGCTATTATAACCGTACCATGGGTCTTATTTTGGTGGTTAGTATAACTAATTATTTAGAAATAACACTTCACGTCTGTGTGATATAAATAGTAAAAAATCTGAAGGATCTGTCACACTATTAGGTCATATAGAGTCATAGGTAGTTATTGTATATTCAGCAAGGAAAACATAATGACCATCAACTTACAGAAGTATATCATCAATGGGTTTTTTCTTTTTTGTATGTGTGCGTGTTTTTATTTAAATTGGTACATATTATTTTAAGCTATACTTGAATTAAACCAAGATAGATTCATGATGGTCTGAAAATACACATTTTAACATATAAATGCTAAATCCCAAGTTATGAAACTACTTTATCATTAAGTCATTCCATAAGATAGCTCAGCGTGATTCAAAGCAGATTAAACATTTATAACTAATGTTCTTGTACACGAAATCTACAAAACAATATAGTAAAGAGTCATTATTTTAAAGTTTCTGTAAATTCCGCATCCAACATCAATACACCACCAACACAAAATAGATATTATTTAATAAAAATGATAGTTATTTTTTATTAAAATAAATCTATAAAAATCAAAAGAAGTGTGATTAAAAAAGACGACTTCAAAAAATACCCATGTTTTCAGGTTTCTTGGTTTTTCCATAGGGTAACCCCCGAGAGCTTCCGATATTTGGTGTCTCACAATAGAATCGAGGAGGCGAAAGAAGTTGTGCGCAGAATGGCGCGCATCAATGGCCGACCTGTTCCGAACTTGAAGAAACTTCGTATGCTTGCGGACCTTGATCAGGCGAAGGATAGGAAGTACACGGTGAAGGATATTTTAACGTCACGTCGACTTCTGAAGTACACGGTTCTGCTTGGTGTTGGATGGTAGGTGTATGAGGGAGGTATTTTGGTAGTAGATTGCATTTTTATCGCGAAAACCAATTTTTACTTATCTTACCTTTCTGAACTCTAAATATGTTGTTATCCTATTCGTAACGGAACACAAATTATAAATGTACACTAAAAACTTTAAAAAAAATGTCGTTCCTGAAGTAATCAAAATAATATAATCAACACTGGATATTTTGCCTTGCAAATAAGTAGTATAAACCTATTTTGTTTTCATTTTAATTTAATTGTTATCGTAGTGTTTTATAAAGATAAAGGTATGTCTAGGAAAGTTATGAATAATAAGGATTTCTGGTGAAGATCGGTTTGCTGTTCGTGTCTTGAGTAAACGTTCATTAAGTTTGTTTGCTGTTTGTGTTGACTTTTTTGACCGGTAGTATAAGCTTTGATGATGACTAGCTGTTATTTGCTGTGATTTTTTTGAGACATTTAACGTCAAAACAGCGACTGCTGACTTATAACAGACAACAGTGGTTTCATAACTGTATGATGGTCAACAATTAATTTATCAAGATAGTGATAACAATTATAGATATAGATTACACAAATAACAAATGAACAAAACGAGAAATAGTTGAAATATAGTTTCAAAAACTATGTAAAAAAAGAAATAGAGCATAATACAAGCATGCGACAATGGAGTGTTCATTATAAAAATATACAGGATATCTTGTAAATGGTTAATTCTTAAGCAGACTCTGTAAGAAAGGTACTCTTTTAATTCTAATACGACAGCTGTCCCTTCCTCGCTAAGTTATATTGCAGATCAGCCCTCTCTTCTACTCCGGGATCATGAAACAATCTGATACTTAATTTTAGCTTAGCAAATTACGTTTGACGTCACTTTCCATGACGTTATTTATGATTGGCTACGTCAAAACTTAAGACAATTTCAGACTAAATAGTTTCCTGATCATGAGGTCTGATTTTGTTACATGCCATAGATGATTCGTAACTACTGGTTCTATAATGCAAGTCTCGTGATGCGACCTGTTAAACAAAATAATATCTAGTCAGGAATTCCTACCGGCCGTGCTAAAATCTACACTGACAAATTTATCATTGATCATCATGACCTGTTATTTTCGTTCCTTATCTTGATTATAAACATCAAGGCGGTTGCGATTATGCAGAACTGATGTTGTTCTCAATAGAAAACGAATTCAGAAAAAAACGTCTGGGGTTTTATTATCTTATTTGTTTCCAAATTTGTACTTTCTTTTCCTATCGAGTTTTAGCGTGGGTCATAATCTATGTATTGACACTATTTTTGCTTTTCTACACAAATAATTCCATGGATTAATTCTTTGTCGTATATAAAATCCATAACAAACATTTCGATAATAACTAGTCCAATAGATGTGTTCAAGGATATGAGTCATAGCAGTAACTTTTATTAGGAATACGAAGTCCGCTGATGGTGGGTCAAAGTGACCCCATCATTCATATACATGTAAGCACATCGTATCTATCTAACCCACTTTGGACCTGTATCCCTTGGATTTTATGTAGGAAGGGTTGTCAACAAATATACATTGTTAATATCCAAAACATAAACAGAAATTGATTTAATAAAAGTTGAAAAATGTTCCTTTCACAAGCTTAATTGGAGTTATCTCCCGTGCACTGTTTAATTAGATTGATATGACAGAATATATGTAATGTTTGTCAATAAGTTTGGAAAGGACTTAAATAGGCCTAGCCTGATGTCCAATCCAATTGACATATATAAAGTCCATAAAATCTGTTGAAATTGAAATTTAACCCACTTTGACTTCAGATCAGATAATTTGCTGATAAAGGTAAATGTGTATTCGTAAACGTTTAATTTTATTTTCTTTGGTGTGACAACTGCAACTGAACTGTATGAATGTATTTGTTGCAGGCTGTCCTGTGGATACGGTTACTACGCCATTTCGTTTGGTGTACAGAGTCTATCGGGGAATCTTTATTATAACATGTTTCTACTCAGCGTTGTGGAGGTGCCCGCGCAGATGTCTACTTACTATCTGGCCAACAAGTAAGTTCGATTAAGATATGATCAATTTCACCATTTAACGTGTTTCAATTTCTCTGTTTAACCCCAGGGTATAAAGAAGCAGCACGCGCTAGATTGTTGTTGTCGTCTTAATTGTTGTAAAGTCATCCAAACGAAGATGGAACCTTTTTTGATGCTGCGTTTCTTATCATTATTCTCCCTTCTTCTCATTTTTCATTTGCTAAATTGGTGTCTGGAGGTTTCTTTAGAGAGGTATTTAGGGGTACTATTGAAACGATTGTAGGTAAGTGTAGCTGTGGGAAACGCTTTCTATTTTCCGTTCGGACGTATTTGGCTAAAACGTTTGTTATATTCCATAGACCGTAGCGAAAAACTGAGAGAAAAAAATGTTCAAGTGACACCCTCTAAGTTTGAAAAAAACACAAAATTTCGACAAATTGGGCACTTTAAACTGCCTTCTGATTGGACGATGATCAGGTATTGATCGTTGTTTGTATGTGATTCATGATACTGCATGCTTTAAAGAGACATTGAATAAAATGACAGCCATTTAGTGACTTATCACTGGTCGAAATTTAGATATTGGTCGATTTTGTACAAATTAGTTATAGAAGTATATAATGGTTATGCAAACACTGCTACAGCTTCTCTTTTCTAATTGGATAAAAGGGCCGTAGTTTCTAGGATTCTGACTGTGTGTTGTTTACGACTATGTGGACTGTTTTGGGAGCCGCTGGAAAGGTTTCAGTCACAACGAGAACTTATTGTTGTTGCTGTTGTCCCCCGAGGAGAACAACCCTCTTCAGGTGTGCAAACACCTTTACAGCTTCTGTTTTCTAATTGGACAAAATGGCCGCAATTTCCTTGATTCTGATTAGTCTAAATTTAGATAGTTTCAGCAAATATCCCCATTACAATTGTTACTTATTATGTTGTTGCTGTTGTTGCCCACGGAAAAAACCTTTCTGAGGTTTCAGACAATGAACACGTATATTGTTGACCCTAGGTGCACGATTCTTAGCCTAAGAAAAAATGAAAATAAAAAAGTTCAGCTTACATATTCAAAAATCCTACTCCTTTGATTGAGATGTGTCTGCTTTACTTCCAGATTGAAAAACAATATGCTATAAGTTATCAGTCATTACCTCATTTCTGCGAATCTGGTGTTGAAATTAGACAAATATTTGTATTGACATAGTTAATACTTGTGTTTTAGACTCGGACGGAAGCCCACAGCGCTAGGGTTTTTCATGATTTCAAGCATGTCCTCGGTGGTTGTTGCCGTAACACAAATCACAGGTATATGTATGAATGGATCGTTTTAGTGTTTAGCAATGTGTTGCAAATATCACATACTTATGTATAAAATGATTCCAGTCGTGGATACACAATAAAAGGAAAAATATGTTTTGATTACAAAGGTCGCAGACATGATCATGTTAGTTATAAACACTATTTATAAACTGATATAGATGTTTGGATTGATATATAAAACGAAATAGTGTGTACACCATTTAAGCCTGCTCTGATAAAACAGCGTACCACAAAAACCATTTTTCGACTTTTTCTTTCTCTATTGTCATAATCAAAGAAGCAAAGACTTGCAACGTAATATAAATAATTTTGTAATTTTAGAGAGTGTTCTCAAAACCTGCAACAACGTGAGAAACGTTAACAGCCGAATGACCGACATGGAATAATACCCTGTTTACTGTGGATATTGCTTAAAATATCATCAGTATTTATGCACTTTGTTTCAGATTTTGAAATGAAACATCAGCTGATGAGCGGTTTCGCGCTTGCGGCCAAACTTGGCGTTGCTGCTGGGTGGTCAGCCCTCATGTTACTGACCACTGAGAACTATCCTACAGTGGTCAGGTAAGACTAGGTAGAATAGAGAGTCTTCTTAATTTTCATTACAAGCACAGAAACACGAAGGACCTTTCCTAAGATCTTTTCTCTTCACAAAGAAACCTGTGTTGAACGGAAGTCTACGGTATCCTATGTACTACTAGTATTTTTTATAGTTTCATACAAAAGCAATTCAGACGTTTATATGTATGTGATAAATAATTATTTAAGCGCTATTTGTCTGTAAATTTTAACCAATTGTTAAGTAATTGAAACAAAATTGGTTATTTTTTTTAAAAAAAGTTCGCTGATTGTTTCTTACTTGCGATAGCAGCATTTTATAGAAATATGTTTTAGGATTGTGGAAATATTCCTATTTCAATTTTTGTGTGTGTGTGCGGAAGCAGGAAAGCTTTATCAAAATGTTCTGTTTATATTCTCAGAAACATCGGTTTCGGATTGCAGTGTTCTATCAGTAGAGTTGGTGGAATGGTGGCACCGCAAGCTGTATACCTAGTAAGTACGTCACGTGACTGTTCAACAGTCACGCATCAATGAAATTATCCAACAGAAACATCTATTTGTTTATTATCATGATTTCGTTCCCTAGAAACTTTGTTACAAATTCCTAAAGTAGTCTGGTTGCAAATGAAAACAGTTAGTTGGCAATGTCCTTGGTTGTCGGGTGTGTCATGAATGACGAGATATACATGGCTGTGTGTACGGGTATGCGTTTAAAAACGATAATGCTGACGACGACGACCGACGAGGTGATATTTATGGCGAAGGTGACACTTTTGTCCAGGTTTTTTTGCTGAACATTGTGTTTTATTTATATCTGCTGAAAGTACATTTTATTATTTCTAGAATCACCACCATCCCGGAGCATTATACTTTATATGTGGGGGACTACTTTTCATCTCCGCGGTATGCATGATCTTCATACCGGAAACGAAAGGCAAAGCCATGCAGGATGTCATCAACGGAGATACCACCAAGGGGAGCCCGAGTCAACTACACTCTTTACTATCGTCTGACTCACCATCCGAAGATTCGTCTGGGAACACGACTGATAACTTGCAGTCCAACAACCTAAAAATATAATAGTCTTTCAAAATACAATTGAAAACATGTTGTTAGCGTTACGTTAGGAATAGAAAATAGCTTTACTTGTGAACAACTGTACCTGATCATTTCACGGGTAAAAACGTAAAGAATCTCGATACCCGACACCTGTTATAAATTTGGCAGACTTCAGAAACGAATAATCTGTCCACTTATGCCTTAATGTCAACATTTGCCTGGAAAAACAAGACATATATACAGATTGTACAATATATAATACAATATAAACTATATCATGGCGAGATTTTTGTTCTGTATATTAAGTTTATTACAAAATCACTACCTTATAAAACAATGAGTTACTTCAGGAAAGATTTCATTTATCAATTTTGTAAATTCAAAATGGGACTTGGCCAAGTCTCTGTTAACAGAAGATTGGGGAGCTGGTAGTTAGTAAACAAAAATAGAATAATTGGTTTTAAAGCATTATTTGAAATGAGGTGTAAGCTGCAAGGTAAGGTTTCTGTGTACAAATGTAACACCTAACGCGAGTTGCATTCAATATGCATGTATGTATTATTTATTTATGGGTTACTTCCTGCTCATACTGTACAAACATATGATATTTTCCAAACACTCTGTTGGTTCTTCACAATTTTGAGTTTAATGTCCGTGCTAATTGTTAAAGATGATCTCAGTTAAACCAGTGGCGGATCCAGAGGGAATTTTTGGGCTCCATGAGGAAAAGTATGTGTATAGTTATGTAATTAAAGACAGGTACATTCCTATTCATACTCGGCAGAAAAACATTCTCGCCAACGCGAATGTACGAAAACACAAACATGAAGACATTTACCTTTAAATGAAAATTTTATAAAAGATTAAGTTAATTAATTTGTTAATTGATTAGTTACGTTTGAATATATTAGACAAAACGTTACAAATCTTGTACAAATTTCTAAAGATTCAACATTCCTTAAATAAACCACGGAAGACACACTAGCTCTGTCATTTTCAAAACGTATTTTTAACATCGATATGACAACCTCGAATTCGTGTTTAAAATGAGTGTGCTGATTTTCATTACCTAGGGTGATACATGGCAGAAACTTCAATTTGTACTTAAGACAAACTGCAAACAGGCGAGTAAATTGCGATTGCACAAATGTTCATTTGCCGTAAGATTTTATTTACAAAATACCATCACTGAATTATTTACAATCATTCTTATTCTATGGAATGAAATACAGAATTGTGCTTTCACACATCCAAGGCGTCTACTTGAATAGAAGCCCCGAAAAAGAAATAGTTCCGTCACAAGCAATGTGTCACAACTCAGTTCAGAGCCAAGCAACCCTATGTTGTACACCTAGGGAAATAGTATTCGTGACACCACACCCCAAGTGACATATCAAGTTCGAAGTATGTTTCCCCGACATATGTATAGCTACAGAACATCCACCACACACTTCCGTACCTGTTGGATGCATCGAGTCCTGACCATTTTCTTCCTGTCCACTCAAATGTTTCCTTCGTCCTCACTCACAACATAAGGGCCGTGATTGTGTCAGTAACCTCTTTCAGTAATAATATCATACCTGATAACCTGGATTCTGCTCCTAGACTTTGGCCCCCTGTCGACTTTCTTCCTCTTAAACAGCTTTTTTTTTATATTTCCCATGGCCATAGCAACCTGACCGTCGTCCATATCATGGCAACATGACCTGACCATTGCCATAGCAACTTGACAAGTATTTCCCATCTTTTTCCTATATATCCATTACGTACTGGTATGTTGTTTAGATTTTATCGTCGGCTAGACTTTCCAGCAGTATTTCTCGATACGAGAGGAGTAGAGTGTTGAGACATCGGTCCCAGTCTTTGGGCCGTCCTACACACATCGATCGCAACTTCTGCATCAACGTTATGTTGAACCTATCTAAAAGACCAATGCATTGCGGATGGTATAAAGTTTCGTCAACTGTGTCAAAAGGACATGGTTTGTCTTGCTGTCTTTATCGTGTCAGAGACGAAATGGGTTTTATGATCAGTTAACATCTCGGCCGGAATTCCAAACCGGCTGCAACCAAAATATTAAAAAGCCGCGGAGACTCTTTTTGTCCTAACGCAAAACTACGACATCTAGTTACATAATCCACCACTGTCAGGATTAAATAATTAGCTAGGTACATTTATGGTTGATAAGGTCCAACGAATTCTACATCTATACCCTTACCAGGAAAGTTGACAAGTTACCTTCTTCAAAGTTGCGTCTCTGGTACTCTCCCGTTTTTGAAATGTGCCCTTTCACACAGTAAATGGCAGACAAAGACGGTGAAGTCTGCTTGGCACTCAAGTAAAATGAACTCTGACGATTCGACTTGACCTCAGTTTCGCTTCACGATGAGCTAACATGATTCTTGAGTAAGCTTAAAGATGATATGACGTTACTGTGCTGGAACTATAAGCTGCCAGAAAGCTTGCAAGCTTTGAAACGCACTGTACATCATTACTTAGTGCTAAACAAATCCCATATTTGCTTCCGTCATCCCGGACAAATGTCTCTCCGCCAATTTCAGAAAAAACAGCATTTTCTTATTCTTCCATATGTTCCTTTACATTGCCGTTAATTCCGAAGCAATTACGAACTTTAAGGTATTTCTTTAGCGGGTTCCTTCTTCTAAACTTTGCTCTACGTCTTTCATAGTTGATGAATTCTTAACATCACAGACAATGGCGCCATCCACAACTAATCATGCAGAAAGGCTTACATCCCTCCATCGATTCCATTAAATATTGTGTGTCGGTCTGAACAGAAGAGAATGTGCAAACCAGCCGAAAACCATCCGCAATATTAGAGATTGTTTCGTCGATAATCTGAAAATTAAATAATGCTAAACACATGTTTTCCCTTGTGTCCTTGCCGACAAAGTTTCCCTGTAAATCCCATAGAAAAAATCCTTAAATTATATCTGACAAGCTATCTTGTTTAACATATAAAATTTCATCAATACTTCACCACCCAACAAATTACGTCCATGATCCTACCCTTCCGTAGGACGAGCGTTGGTGTATAATTTTGGAAATGAAAACTAAGAGGAAAGATTACAATCATAAATGTTTATTTGCAATGAGGTTGAACTGTATAAAGTATCCTCCCTTATTCACTCACAATCATTCTATATAATTTAATACATTGTCATATCAATATAGTATTACGTGTACAGATGTATTATTATGTGGCTGGTTTAAAAATCGATAGAGCAACTTGAAGGTTTGGCGATTACACCAGAGGGCAAAGAGATGGGTTGTCAAAAGATAAGAGTTTAACACACAATTAAAACCATTGAGATTTATCTACCGTTAGTCAGTCCACTTGCAGATATCACTGTAAAAAATCTTATCAAGAGTGGAAACTAATTATACGGGTCAATGTGTTTATTGACACAAAAAAAATAGACTTTTATTAAAAGAACCGTTCTGGCACTTGGCGTGAATAGATTGAAGTCAGATTTGTTATCGCTGCAGCTATTTTATCGATCATTGTCTCCACAATGATTTCCTTATCGGTCGTCTATCTCTTCACAAGTCCGCATTAAGCTATCTACGAGTCGCCATAAGTTATCACAATGGTTTAAATGCAGGACTTTGTTAATGCATTAATGAGTCCTTGCTGGTGAATGAACACAAAGCGTTACTCATCACATACATAGAGTACATCTGTACGTTTGTGTTTAATTAACCTACGGTAGCTGTTCTTAGTTTTATATCAAGAAATTTCCGATATTTTTTCTTCGTGTTTAATAATCGAGCAAAGGATATACTATGACTAGCTAGTTAACTACGTGTAGCATGCAAGAAAAAATGTCAAGGCGACAGTGTGGCAAAACATATTCTCAAATTTTCGAGAAAAATCAGCCCCGTTATCGAGACAGAAAAAAATGACCAATTGCATAGCACTTCAAATAGTACAGAAAAGGCATTGTCCATAAAAACAATTCCAATATTATCTTCAATAAGATACATCAGTTTGGAAATATGTCATACCGGTCTTGAAACGTTGCGACACGTTTAATACGTACATTATTTGTGTAGAATGTAAAACTCTGATCATTTCGATATTAATTATTTTATTAACGTTTCATATGTAAGAATATTTGAAATTCGCCGAAACCTCTCCGAATGCAGTGTGTCGTTGGTGACTTAGCCCTGTAACAGAAAATATAAAACTTACACGATTTATAGACACATACCGTTTGTTAAGAACAAGACATATGCTATACAAGACTGATAAAGGTTTAAGACGGACTGGCATTGTTGTCCGACACCAAGACATCGGCATAACGACGAACACATATTTACATACGTGTGTGTAGGGATTGGTGTGTATGCTCCCCTTGTAGGAACGCAGCACATCAATATATAACTGTACAGGTATACCATATATATATATGATACCTGTGGTCGGATATCAGCACGAACCTCCGACATCAAACTATAAAGACGTAAGGGAAACTGATAGAATATGATTGTGTATTCGTGTATACCTGTGTGTGCCGCTTGATTAAAACCCACCCAGGGTACTTATTGAGCTGTTGGATCAAAGGAATAAGACATTTAACTAATAAACCAAGCCCAGCTACCGTTGGAGTTCTGCATGAATCATGGCACACTGGAGTTTAAACCCACAACAACTAATGGAATTTAAACCCCAGCGTATTACGTACAGGTATATATAATATATATATATATATATATATATAAATTACGCGAACCTCTCTTTCAAAGCATGTATTCAGGTATTGCCAGACCAATTCAGGTAGCAATAACTTGCCTACAATATACGTGTTTCAACGTAACAAATAAGTTTATTAAATTTAAATCAATTAAGGACTTTGGCATACATATGTACGATTGTAGGTGTTTCAACACATGTGAGAACTGTACAACATCTGACGCACACTCTTGTGAACAGAGCAGTATTACTTAGGGTGAGGTTTTATTCCGAAAGGAAGATAACATCGTTAATGCATACAAATACACACGGCAATTAATCTCCTTTCGAGTTTAATATTTTTTCTGTTATATACATGTAATGATAATATATATAAATGAGAGAGAGAGAGCGAGAGAGAGAGAGAGATAGAGTGTGTATTGAAATTTCTATATTAAGAAAGAGGAGACAGGTTGATAAGTCGTATACAAATCTTTGAGTTATTGACATATGTAATATAATCGTGAGCACTATTTACACCTGTTCAGATGCGATAGAGGCGTGCGTACCCGTGCCTGCACAGCAACAGCTGTAGTGTTGATATTTATATGTAACTAGGATATCGATCTGAGTCGGAGCGGAAGTCGTGGGGACCGATTCATACGGAAGAGTGTGACAGGGTATAAGGAGCTCGGGACAGACCGATCAGGGACACACTATGGAGGGGCCTACGTACACCTGAGGGTCGGGATTATCTTACCCAGGGCCGGGACACACTCGCCATGGCCCAAGCGAAATATATCGGGGTGAGTACGACACCGTTAACCACGTGATCAGTCAATGATTGATAAAGGCTGACTGGTTCTGAAATGATTTTCCTATGATATGCTCTAACGACCAATTATTTGATTGGCGAGGCAGGTTGTAGATATATGCACTGTACGTGTACCGGAGTGAATACACATGGAGGTGGACAATGAGCCAAATGAATAATTGGAAATCAAACTGTCATTCTAAATCGAGTAGACGTTATATACCAATCACGATAGTATATATGGCTACACTGTGTGGAAATAAGTAGGTCCGTATCGGGTTTATCATAAATCAACGCGTATTATCTAGAGATGGACATTATTGCTACCGTACCTATTGATTTTATGTCAATTGTACAAAAAATAACAGACAAGGAAAGCACGTGCTGTAGATACAACTTGTTTTCACATGATTCAGCAAATACTATAAATAACGTGCATGATGGCAACTGCCATGCTTTTCATCTTATTTCTTTGGGGTTTTTTTTTGTTTTTCTTAAGATTTAAATAATGGCATTTCCATCAAAGCTAAGTCAATAACTATTTCAAAAGGGTCCACGCTGGTACTGTGGTGGGGTTTCTAGAGGTCGATCCTCTATATCCGAAATATATTTGTGGAGTCTTTTCATGTATACTTTCAACTCCCCTGCTTTGTCTACGCGATCCTAATCTCTCGTCTCTCTTGAAAAGATATGGATGTGCAAATGTGAACTCGGTTATGGGATTGCGTATGAATTAAAATATAGAACATTTTTTTATTTAAAAAAAAAACCCCATTGAATATTACAATTTACAATCCGGTCTCACGATACCGGAAACTGTAGAACACGTCTTGAATCGGAAGTGTTCCGAAAGGCCAGACTTCGTTAGGTAAATATGTGGTTTCCCGATTTTGCCTTTTATCACAATATTATTTACTATCAGTGTCAAACAAACGTACCTTCTGATCTTAGTAACGGCCGTCATTACAATGCCTCTCCATTATTGATTATAGTGCTGGCTACAATACATACAGAGGTCAAAGACAGTCCACCTGTCTCTTACAGTGAGTGGTCCGTACCTTACATAGCAGTATCTAAAGTAAGACCGATGCCGTGGGATTTTTTTTTCTTCGCGGGATAAAAACTTCTAATGATTGAGGTTCAATCAGCTTTAGAGACAAGACGAAACATTGAATCCCTCTAACTGCATGTAAATATATAGGTATTGGAACTTATATTAACACTCAATAAAGTCCCTCCCAATACGTCGTTACATGTATCATGGACACTCCTTATGTCTTTTTCATAATTTATTTGAAACGATTTGTTCATATTGGTTGATAAGTTGTGGTTTACAAATAAGCTTTTCATATTTACATGAATCAGATATCAAGCTTAGCTTTTGGAAGGGATTGAATACCATAGAAATTTATTTGAGTGAGTTAGCAATCAAGTGTGGTAAAACCAAATTTATGACCGATTTTCATCGCCTTATATAAAGAGGTTTGGCGAAACATTAGGAGAAACGTATAAAGAGGTTGCTTAGAAAGAAAAAAAAAGTTTTGGCAATAAGCGGGCTTGCACATAGAAGGAGGGACGTTCAATCGAGGGTTGTATTGTATGTACACGAGGGGTATCATATTGGGGTCAGATTGTATATAAGAGACGTCATATCGACGTTTTATTGCTCATAAACGAGGGACCTTATATCGAGTTTTTACTTTGATAAAAGGGGCATTTATCACGGTTTTCCGGTATACAAGAGTAACCTACGAACAGCAGCGATGGAGCTATATCCATTGATAAAATCACGAACATGGATATTAATTACGCTTCTCCAGTAATCGGTAATTACAAGTTTATGTTCGGTATATAGCTTCTTCCGGAACATTAAACGAAAGTTAAGGAATTGCGACGTCACAGCGCGTGATACGAATAAAGCTATATCTATATCAGTAATGGGAGTGACTTGTATATTGATGTTGGTATATCAGACACCCGGCTTTACTATTTGTACATTACATACTCATGTCATAAAGAAAAAACATATGTAATTTGATCTCAGCCGAGACCCCCTAAATATACAATGATGTTATGTAATTTTTTAACTTTCTGTTTTGCAAACGTGTTTTTTATCGCCCAGATCCTATATGTGTAAGAAAGGTTCGTTGAGAAAGTTCTCAATCAAATAAGGTTTGATTAAGTGATCGAATGTAAATGAAAAGGTGAACCGTGCATTTGAAAATGTTAAGAAATCACCTCTTGACTTGAAATACTAAATAATTTTCTTTTCTAATTACAACGCAAGTGAAGAACTTTCATGAAACTGGTAGAATAGACAGTAAAATAGGTGGTTCCGCAACGAGGAGCTGTTGTTATCATGTTACAAGAGAACGATTTTTTTTGTTAACTTTCTTTTTAATTGACTTTTGAGACTTAGAAATACAAGATAATAACGATAACGAATTGTGGAACCGCTTTCTTCAACAAATTTTGTTATGACATTGTCGTGCAATTGGAAAAGAAATTTTACGAACGATGTGTCAGAGCAGCGCGAGGGATTTCGTTTAAGGAGGTTACTTCTTTATAAAGAAAATCATAATTCTATGATGATAAGCTCTATACCCAAACAACATCTCATAATGTTTCAAACATTTTGGTATTGTTCGATTGTATCGTAAAGCCAATCGCCTGCAAGTGTTCATTATCGTACTATATCGCGGAAGAATATCCGTTATGGAAGAGATCGAAGTAAAATGGCTACAATCTTCAAACCGCCGCATTATATAGTTCAAGATTTTGACCACGGAATATGTCAAACAGACAGTTGATGGCCTAAAAGTTCATTAGAACTGGCAGCTGTGGAAGAACTATATCCAACACTATTGTCATCTTACATTTGATAATTTGAACGTATGTTTTGTATGCATAATAGTATGAAATACGTCTGTCTCTATTCTTACCAATAATAATTGTATGGCTATTCAATATGTACACAAAGGTGTGAGAGACTAATATTAAGAAGTTGTTTTCTATAAGTTGTATGTATATGTGTAACGGTGGTTTTGCTCTCTGTTATTTCACTATGAATACTTGCATGATTTTGTTATACATGTAACCTCTTTTGCCTCACCAAGTGTTGATGAGATTAAATAAAAATCTAAAATCCTGTGGCGGAGATGTGATTTGCTTTGGGATATTTCAAATAGTGACGTTGGTTTTAGATAAATAAACACTGTGCATGCTACATCTCATGTGGTGTCTCCAAGGCATTTGTATGTAATTCATGTTTAATGCTTCAATCCCTTTACTGAACTTAGCCCTAATCTAGTCTTTGTTGACATCTGTAGAAATGTTAAATCCCGTTTAATCCTGTACGTTACCTCTCACGGATATTCGCCGCGGTAGTGCAGTTCGAAAGACATAAATCGTAAAAACCACGAACATATAGACACTGCTGCACCTAACCCAAGCTTTAAATCTTAATAACGATGATATTGGCATAGGAGAAACAAAATTAACAAAATCAAACGCTTAGTTCATATTTCTTAACGTATAATGATTACTCTATTTAGCTCTGTATGTTTCCCATCGTTTTGACATCGTATGTTATGCGACGATTTTTCACTCCTACCACCACTTCGCCCCCAGATAAGAAATCGTATAAGGAGTTAATATATTGTCCATGGGTACGTACATATATTGAAGGTGATTGTGATATACCTATGTATATGATAGGTAATTTGTATTGTATCTATGCGTACCTCTTAAACACAAGTTACAAAGGAAGATAATTTTATGGATCGTTCCCTGTCCAGACCTATTATATGTTTAATAGAAGGTCTTAGTCACATTCATGCAAAGTATAATTTACGGTATATTGTAAAACGATACTTAAGGCAAAATATTTCGTAATAATATACTGTATTAGATCATTGTCACTATCATAAAGTATTTTATCCAGTCTGTCCCTACGGAAGCATTCCGTATAAATCACATCTCGTGATCGCGATCCATTTTATAGAATTTCAAATATATATAAACATACATAAACAAAAAAGAAAAAAAAAACACAGGGATCGAACTCGGGTCCTTTACACTGCAAGCCAACACTTTACCAGTGTTACTGTCCAGAAAATAAATAATTCATCGCAACAAATAAAAAATATTTGTCCTGACAAGGCAGTAACACTTAGCCATTTAAGTGTTTATATATGGGAGCATATGCCATGTCGAAAAATAGCACTGTCATCCTTGTCAATAAGTGTAGCACGATTTCTCCCCCGGGTAAGAAACCGAGCAGGGGTTAGAAATCTTATCGTTACAACCATATCTCAACTATATAAAACTCCTGTCTAAAACCTTTGGTCTATGAAGGCCTATGTCCACATCTTTCGTTTCGTTTCTTTATTTGCTTAAGTTTTATAAATTAATCCTGTATTTATAAAAACGTTGTCAATGATATCTGACCTACTTATCGGTTGTTATAGATAAAAACCAATGCATACACTGTACTTATGTGAAGAAATATTTTTCTCTCTACCAAAAGGAAATGCCTTTCAAATAATTTGCAAAATTTCAAATCTGAATATAATAGAACAGTATATGGTTCGATTAGCTTAACTTTTTGCTTTATTTATCGACGTTTGCAGACAGTTTGATACATTACAACGAAGAACCTCGAGGTTAACATTAGATATTTATCAGTACAGACAATTCCTTTAATGCAGTTTGTAACCCCGTAACATGGCTCCCGTACCTTTGCTCGGGGCACGTTTAAATGCCTATTTAAGTAGACTTCACTTGAAAGCAAGTAGATAATACGTTTGACAAATTGCCGTTCGTGATAGTAAACAATTACACGCTAGGAGCATAAATCTTAAAGTTGCTAAATAGGGGGAACATACTTCAGTGTGCAGATGTTCAATACTTCACCGTAGGGTGTAATATGTCAGAACAGAGTCAATCTCATCAGAAACTGATGTGACCACATTCGTTCACTTGATCGGGCCATTTAATATCTTAAATGCAGCTGGGCAATATCTTTAACGTTATTCTTTTGGAAAGATATGAAACATTTTCATAGTATTAATTATTTTCAGTATTTTGTCGACGAAGAACAAACTGTAAGGTTTGTGTTACATGGCATACATACATGTATAGTACCGCCTGTGTATAGAAACGAACTGTTATGTTACGGTAAACTTCGAGGGGGTTCGCATTGAAAACCTAACGAGCGGATAATTCAAATTATTCTTCCGTGCCAATGCTGACAGTCTAGGGCATGGTGTCAGATTTATATTAAAAAAATGGAGCTTGGGAAAAATCTTTGAGTGTGGCGTTCCCTATATGGGACACGTACGGTTCATGGTCGCTTCTCTAATTCTCCTTCAATGATTCGGCACATTAATATCATATGTGTCGTCGGATTTGCTATTATGAATCACTGGGAACCATGTTTAAAGCGAAACATCCTCAATATAGAACACGGTGATTTAAAGCAGAATGTCTTGAATTAGAAGTCGTTGCCTTATGTTAAATTAAAGATGTCGCTGATGTAACGACACTTTTCATTGGTTACTAAGCAATCAATGATATGCCCGTTTACCTATATATGTGAATGACTTCAAAAAACTCTTTGAATTGCTAATGTAAGCACATTCAGGTGTGTAAGTATAAAGTATCTAAAAACTCCACATAGATACATATACCGCTGGCTGTAGAGGTGTGTTGGCTAAATGAAAACGAGGCATTAAGTGACACATGCTTGCACGCGCAAAAGAACAGCCTGGATTTTAATGTGAATTGTGATATATTTAGACATGTGGAAATTTATTGAGATCCAAAGAAAGATTTTGAAAATAATATAAACTTTATTAATTTAACAACAATCAGGAAACAAGTTATTTCATTTCAACTTATATCAATTCTTGTTGGTCTTAATATGTTAGCGCGAGGGGGATCTGAATATGGGAGGAAACCGGAGTAATAGGGGGAAAAAAAACATGTGGTCGGCCAGGTGACCCCACAACTTTTTACGTCCGATCTAGGAAATTTTGAATATATACTGTACCAGTCCACAAAATGTTGATTTGGCTTGCCTCATCCTTAATTATTCAAAATTGTCTGTCTATTAAACAAATTATGTGTATTGGATTGTTGGTAGGAGATGACTTTTCTAGTTGTTATAGCTTGTGAATAACCCTTTGTACCGAGTTAGACAACAACATTTGCGTTTAGTGTGAAAGGAACAGACTTCTATCAATAATTGGAATAGTCAGATCATTTTTTGCAGAGTATTTTTAATTAAACACTATTTATCTGGCCTTTAGACGTGCGAAACAAATTTCCTTTCAATGACGTCACGATGAATATTTCCTCCGTGCCTACCCTATCACCGTGTGCTAAATATCTGTATGCTCTATTCTCTCAGACAGTACACGAATTCCCAGGAGGATTCCCCGACGTATACCATTAACCTTCCAAAGACAATAACGGGTATTAATATTGATAGAAAGAGATCAGTTTGCGATAAGTGTGAAAACGAATACTGAAAATTTAATCTACCAGCTGACGAATTTTACGTTATATTACCATGAATATATTGAAAGCCAGATGCGTAAAATTTACAAATAGCTAGCGCAACGAGCGCACAGATATATGTAAAGATAAAAGATCGGACTTTTTACATCAAAACAAATCCCAATGATGTATTCGTCCACAAGTCCATCAAATATTTTTTTCTGAAAACAAATATGGCTTGATTGACGAGTGTTCACAGAGTATTGATCACTGTTCATGTGTAGCGAGAGACAGATAGTGTCACCCGTTAACAACAAACAGTAAAATATTAATTATTCATACTCATTATTTCGTTGCATAAACAAACACCACGTGTATATTTAGCCCACTGGTCGTTCATTATAGAAAAATTACTTCAAATAGTAAAAGAAGGTTCTTAATTGATGACGGAGACGTCAAATGTTGGTACGGCCGGGCATGTGACGTCATACACACCATATATATATATTGAATCAACTGATCGTACGGTACATTATAGAAATTACTTCATATGGTAATTGAAGGTACTTTAACTGACGGCGGAGACGTCAAAAGTTGGTACGGGTGGGCATATGACGTCATACAGAGACTATCTAATTCATGGTACATGTACATCAGCCTGCTAATATGTATAGATTGATCTTTTCCAATCTTTTTTTTTAAAATTAAATTCCATACCAGGCTATTTATTTTTTATGTTATTCGAAACAGTTTCAATGGAATTAAGTGAACATTCATTGGATAAATCTGATATTTATTACATACAAATATTGTTGGGAAAATTGGTACTTTAACAGCGTTGGGTTAATTAACAAATAATAGAATGTGTATTTGTGAAGTACCTGTATGTGGTGTTAGTTTCTTAGCGTTGGTATCTCTGACGAAACATGATTTAATTCCAACGAAAATGTGTTGAAAGGGAAAACAGAGATACATACGAAATAAATAATGACGTTTATACAATTAAAGTCCTATCGGTGCATTTCCCAGGCTAAAAAACATAAATTGAATTTGAACTCTCTGCCGAGTGTGACAAACTTCAGCCATAATTTATTACCTGCGTTCAAGCACTGCCTCATAGTAACTGATATTTGTATTCATTTAATTATTGATTTGAACTGTGAATAATCCACGTACCAGAACGCTCGTATAGTTTACTGTGCTTGTGTGTACATGCGCCTAGCAACAAGGTACAAATGTTAATATATCATAAAACAGTATTAGGTCCGGAGCGACGTATTTCCGGATCAAGGAAACAGAACTGTTAAAACAACACTTTTTAAATTATGTTTTAAACTAAATTTCTTCCACAGTTCATTGTCATTGACTTAAAGGTGATAGCTATAGTAAACGTTGGACTTGTTGATTCAATGTATGTGCTAGGCGATTGACATTTATCTGCAAGGCAATATCATATTGATTATGACATACAAATGGTTAGCGGTACAGAATCAATCGATTACACTTGATTTGGTTGCTTTTTTAAAATTTAAAACAGTCAAGGTTACAGTGTATCCAACTCTCTACCAGTCCATCCACTGAGACCATACGAGATCTATTGTTTTTACTTTGCCCTTACAAAAACCAATCAAATTTTAGAAAAATCGTTATACATGTATACTGCTGACCCCATTGTGACATCTTTCTATTATTCCGACTTATCTTTATTCAAGTTTGAATGCTGTCATTGATTTTTCGTTCTTAAAATCAGTGTGAATACATTAAAATGAAATGAGTTGGGAAGAATTAATGCTGTATGTGCCAGTGTGTAATAAAAGTGTTTATTATTTTGCTGGTTGTTTGCTGGTCTTGAGCACTCGGCAACCCCTCGTGCTCAAAATGTTCACCTAGGCAACATGATTGGAGAAATAAGGATTACGTGAAGTATTTATGGAATATAGAATGGTCCAATACATCTCTTTATCTCTATGAGATTTAACGTACATGTACAGTGTAACCGTGTATATTGTTATTAAACACACTCTGCTTTATTTGTGTTGCAGACTGAAAAGGGGGCATCGCCAGCTCTGGATGGCCCAAACTTCGTGGAAGGACAAGACGAGATGAGCGGGATTCCCCATCTACATTTCTCCTTCGCCATTCATTCTTTTATCCCACGTCGTTTCCTAGAAGTTCAATTCGCTATAAAGACAGCGACGGTATTCGGCTGTTTTGGGGAAGGCATGCGACTGCCGTCCATCGTCCACCAGAGAAATGATGGGATCTTCGTCAAAAAGAAGTTCTGCAAAGACCCGGATGTTTTGTTTTATCATACTAAGGATGTTGTACTGGGATTTCCCGGATCCATCGAACCAGACAATAGTAACTATGTGATATCGACGGAGAGCGTCCATATAGGTTACTGTCTACTCAAGGTCCTAGATAATGGCAATAATGTAGCACACTTAGACTTGCAAGTAAATAAGAAGGGAGTTACCTACCTCAGTAGTGCCAAGTCAAAGAAGAAGTTCGAGCAGAGACTAAAAGTAAATAAAAAAGCAATAGAATCTATGTTAGACATGCTGATGAATCAAGGAAGTAATAGACTTGACATGAAATTCAGTGACGTGTTTTCCGGCGTTCCGGAAAAATCGTTAGACCTAGGCAACCGTCCCCATACAACAATGGGACTGCGCGGGATGTTAGCCAGTACGAGACAGGACCGAGATAGTCAGAAAAAGGCAGAACAGGAGAGTGGCCTTATCAATGAGGTGGAGTCTGATGAGGTCGGGCACGAACTTGCATTTCCGTTTCCAGAATGGCCCCCGATGGCTGGAGAATTTGTTACCCGGAAACGTCCTAATAACTGGCCTTCAAAGGGCACGGTGGATAAAGTGCTTGCAATGGGAATCCATATTGTTCCCATGGCCAACGGAGCCTCTACTGATGCCGACATCGAGTGGCGAATGTCGTTCATAGCGGCAGAAAAGAAACTTATTCTGGAGGAGTTGGACGATTCGCAAAGACAGTGCTATCTACTCACGTATCTTCTTTGTCTACACACATTCTCGGAGGGACTCATCCTGCCGTGTCACTTGAAGGCTGCATTTCTCTACACGTGCGAAGAAATCGACCCCCGGATGTGGCACAGAAATCCTGCGCACAGTTGCTTTCTCGTCTTTGATAGGATTATTGAGGGTGTACGGCAGAAAAATCTTCCTTGCTATTTCATCAAAAAGAATAATATGATCGACCACCTAACTGATCTTCAGTTTTCTCAATTAGAACGCCGATTAATGACCATACGCAAGAAACCAGTTGTTGAGCTACTGTCATTGGCGGATAACTACACGCTCCTTGATGTGTTTCCCTATAACCTTGACGTAAAGCGCGTATTTGCTCCGGTCATGGGGGACGCCAAGAAGTACGAGGGCAAGTCACAAGCACTGGAAGCGGTAGAAGTGTTCATTAAGACCTCAAACACGATAAGTAATGGATTCTACCATGAGTTTGGATATGATCACTGTGCATCCATTCTAGACGATGTAGTTGACTACATTGTCGAACCCGTGCTTGGACATAAAGAGGCGGAAAAACAACGCGAGTACATTCCTCACCTCCTCAACCAGAGGAACATCGAATTTAGCAACGACATTTCTCCCAGCGAGATATGGAAACCCATTACCTTCAGTCGATACCTGATCCGTAGGTACGTGGAGGGAGATACCGGTTCGGGGCTATTCGAACATCTTGCATGCTTGTATCATGCCGCTGCTAACATATTTAAAGAAAACAGAGTCCCGCTTCTTCGCGAAGCTGATGAAATGTTTCAACAAGCACTTAATCGCAAAGGTGAAGGTCACGGGCCTGGAATGTTTGTTGAATATGCACAGTTTCTGTGTTCTTCTGGGCGACACGAGGAAGCCGTTCCTCATCTGATGACAGTATTATCGAGTGAGTGCGAAAACCCAACGTGCGCGAATTACTATGGACAGATGGAAATATACGTCGTAGACGACTTTGTCAGGAAGGAGATTGAGGTCAGAGGCTACGTGGAGGTACTTTCAATCGTGTACGCCTACTATCTGCTCGTCGACTGCTTTGTTCAGTTGAAGAAGCAGAAAGGCATGTCCGGTTTAGTCAATGACTTTGAACAACTTTGTGAGCGACTGAAGGACTCCATGGCATTTTCCTTATTTGGGTATGCTATGAAGAAGGCGGGTGACAACAGTCGTGCAGGGAAGGCCTTCAGGAAAGCGGTTGATCTGGAGCCCTCAAACAAACTGGCCAAAGTTCAGATCTCAGAAAAACCGGAAGCAACAGGAAGTGACGTCGTTAAGAAAACTGGAAACGGTGTAAAATTAGTTAAAGCCAGTGCAAACGGCGGAGACAAAACAGAAAGCGGTAGCGGAGGTAGTTCTAAAAAGAGTTCAGGAAGTGACGAAGGCAAATCAAAAGCTGGCTCATTGAAAAAAGGAGGAAGTCGAAAAGGCAAACAAAAATGACGTAATTAATGAGAGTTGAGGTCCTGTTCTAACGTGATAAATGTTAGAATTGTTCCCTGCCTGCAGTTTAGATAAAACGCCAATACTCTCCTATACCTCATACAGTCCAATGTTTTATTTGTAGCTACAAATGAAATACAATTTTTCGTATAGGACAACAATTGAATTTTAGAATTTTGACTGTAAGTGTCATTAAATAAAATAAAAAAGCACAACTTTTGAATGGCACAGTAAAACGTTGGCCATTAAAACGTTGTGCCAAAAATAAATATTTAATGAACTTTTTTAGTCCTAAAGTCTGTTAAAATAACTGGAGGTGTGAGAGTGTATAAAAGGACTGATGTGGTTATTTGAATGTTTGATTTTGCCAAAGGAAAATGCTGATTTGCTGAAAGTTGGAAAAGAAGAACATCAAAGTGAAAGAATATGTAATTCCAAAAATCGATTAGCTGTGATGAATTCAATGGTCATATACGCCAAAGTAGCACGCGTAAAAACTGCGTCACGAAAGAAACCAATGACTTCTCAATAAGAGGAACTTTCTGTTTGGAAGCAATGCTCTCATAGACATGGGCGATAAACATGTACTTCGGCTGAGTCTGTGGCGTTGTCGTTGTGACATCTCGGGAGATAGTATTACATGGTTATGTACTAACATTAACAGGAAGAAATGATGTATTTGTACATAATATTTCTCTAAACCGCCTGTACTTACAACGGCTATTTTGTTTATAAACAATCCGTGATTACGTCACGTGGTGAACTAAAACATGGTAAGAGAAAGGCTTGCAGTTAGGTTATAGTGGTATAGATTTTATAACACATGTATTATAACCCATTAGGTCAGGGTGAATTTATCGCTTGTAAGCTTAGGTATTTATTGACACTGTTGATCATATGAGACGTGTTATCCTCCCTGATTCCAGGATACCTGTCCCACTGCAGGTAAAACACTACGGTTCTACTGTGGTTTTACGCATTAACAGTTACCTCCCCTTAGATTCGTATTGGCAAAGGCTGTACCGTAATTTGGCAAAGGCACATCTGTTGAACATGTATCTTAGTTGCTTACAGTGACAGTATAGCACTTTGTGGTCCAGGGTTCGAAACCCTCTGCATTTTTACACTCAGAACACTGTTATGGATTTTCTTCTGTCTGTTTCATCTTAAACAGGATTTTCTTCATAAAAGTCCCCGTAACGTATAGATGTCTGTCCAGAATTGAATTATTAAAAACGTAAAGTTACAGTTATTGGCAGTGATGCTGGTATACTATACGGTATACCCCTTTTCACATTAAGTATTTCAGTTCGTCAGTCTAAATTGAAAACGAAGTTATGTACATTGCATTTATATTAACATATATATAATATTATAACATATAGCAATGTCATTATGCAAAATGTGTTAATTATTATTAACAAGTGCAATGCTCATATATCCTTAATACGTTGTAGTTTCATATCACGTGACGAATTGAAGAGGACCATTGTCTACATTGACCTTGCTCATACAGAAATCAATTTAAACTTCCTATGTAAGGCTACACTGAAAATATGGAGGGAAAGTGTATTGTCAAGATTATAATCGTCATTTTTTTTTCTCCCCGGACAGAAGACTTTAATGTTTAACTTGATTTCCATAATAAAAAAAAATGCTTAAAATTAGCAAAAAGGGAAAAATCCTGTATGATTTTATACAAACTATCCTGTCGATTTATCATGCCACTTAACCTTGGAACAACTGTTAAATTCTTAGTCGAGACCTACGTTTCCTAAAGTTTAACACATGATTAACAATTACTGAGTTTTATGATAAATAATTGAATTAACGCAAATCCTTTCAATAAAAAATCTAAGTATCTGGATGGGTATTATTTTCTTGCTAAAAAACATCACATGCAAACCAATCTGTTAAAACCATCTAATACAAGGCTTTCTGTACTACGCACCATGCTTGTTACGTAGTTAACAAAGCCAGGATGATTTTAATCAGATTTCATGCAAATTATCATGTTTTGACAATAATTGCCAGATTGTAATAGTTTTGTTGCAATTCATTTTTATATTTTATGCGTGTGTTTTGCGTGAGCTGGAAGTTGCGTTCGCTTTTTTGTTAATATTTAATTTATTCTGAGATGTTTCATCCACATTAAAATTTTCAAATATCGAAGCTGACTTTTTGTCTATTTTGTAATTTCAGCCTGTATGTTAACATAACTAAATATCATCAACCTCTTTTGAAACAATTCACTGTTTTCAATTAGTATTTCATATTAGATCGTACCTCATGTCCTCCTGATACTGCATTTATTAAACCATATTTTTGAAAAACAAATAATCAATAAATAAACTCTAATTCTAGTCTAACACTAGAAATCCTTCTTGCATCTAACTTATATGGAGCTACACCTTGAAGAACTATACATACACTAATACAGCAAATATAAGTCAAGGTGACTTCCAGTTTTCGCTTCGTCCAATTTGGTGACATTTTACTTAAACATATTTTGTAAAAGGAAGTTTGAATTCCATTGCCACTAAATCAGAGCCAGTACAATGTACAGTCGGGACAGGAATTAATGCGCCTTTGTGATCAACGTTGAACGATTAAAACATTATTCGCATAAAAAATCAATAGTCTATAAAGATTATAAAGATCTTGAGGTACGGTAGTCTAATGGTAGGACGCCGGGCTCGTGACCCAAGGGTTACGGGTTCGAGTCACGGTACGGCACTGTGTTGTATCTTTGAGCAAGATACTTTACTCAGCTTGTTCCAGTCAACTCAGATGTAAATGAGTACGTGGTTGCAGCTCTTAGACAACTTTATATCCCAAATTATTATTATGTCAACCCAACTTATATCAAAATGAAAGGAATGTTCTCAATATGTAACACGGTACTTTTAACAAATGTAAGTAAATTTATACAAAGAAGCTACTTAATATCTAAAATAAGTTAGCTAAAAGAATTATTGAAATGGGTTGTTGTTGTATAAATTGTATCATGTGTCATATTATGTGTGTACTATGTCCATCAATGTATACTATGTAATATGTGACCTCTTGTTACGCACGTATACGTGTTGCGTGAATGCGAAAATAGAACTTGAAAAAAACTTGCTAGAATTGTTGAATGCTAGCTGTGAGCGCCGAAATGGCAGCTCCGGCTTTAAGCTCCCAAGGGAGTTGAAAAAGATATTGGCTAGTTGCAAAGGCCCTATAACCACGGATAATAATTTGTGAACCGCTTTGGGACGACCTACGAACTAGGTTGTGATAAAGCGGTATATAAGAACCTCGAATTATTATTATTATTATTATAACCTAAATGGGGATTTCAAGGGAGGTAAGTCATTTGCCCCCGCATCTTTGATTTTAAAGTGTTTGCTTTTGAATCACTGAATCACTGGTTGACATCGAGTTAAGAACTCTATGACGCTAGGGGTTTATTGACCAACATGCATATAACATTAATTACGTTTATCAGAAGAAGGAGAAAGTGGAAATTGGTTCAGTTTAAATATATATTTTTTTCATAAATTAAAACTCGATTTGGCAAACCTTTATAAAACCCTATCCAGGTCCATTCCTTATCCATGTACATGTAACAACACACAACATATATAGAAACTGATGAACTGGTATTATTTATATCGGAAAGGACGAGCTGGGGAGAATAGAACAATCCGGCCGACGAGTGAATAGAACATAACGGGAAAAGCATGTTAAAGAACTATTATCAAAGAGACAAACCTTGGCTTCAGGTAGAGTTAAAATAGCATCTGTAAACAAATTTTTTAACTAATTTTCATAAAAACTGCATCATTCAACCGCAACTTTAGCTTTGTTCATCACAAACGAAGATTAAACCATGATAATCGACTAATTATGTGTGCTTCCTAAATGTACGTACATGTATGCAATACGGTTACCACATGATCAAACACAGACTTAATCATCAGTTACCGCAAATGTGATAATCCGCCATCGTCATCTTGGTCAAATGTACTGACAGGAACAGAGTTTTAGCACATTTCCTAAAAGCTTGTGTCTTTCCAAAAAACTTTTTTTTTATTCTATTGCATCACATTAAATATACGTCATAAAAAATATTGATTATTTTGTGAGCTACACATTCGAAAAAAACCGCTGTCGGAATCAGACGGTAGAAGTGGTATATACAGTATTATTACAGACAAAACCCTAACCAAGAATAAAGAAAAAATATGTTTGCCCTGGCAAGGGGATGTATGGTAAACACTAAACATATATATAGCTATGTCGATAACGAACTTCGTTATGTATTATATCTCTACGGGGTTGTTATAGCCTTGGTCAGAATTAAACTTTTGTTTGACTCGTCGGGATAAAATTGTTAAAGAATAAAACAAACGCAATACCCAATCCCATGTTTTATTCGTAGTGTTTATACAGCAATATAAGCTAGACGTTTGATAGAGGATATGACATTAAGCAGGAATGTTCCACTTGTCTCCTCGTGTATCTGAAAAAACACTCAACAACTTTTTTTCCTTGTAAAATGTAAGAAGTAAGATGGTCAATCACAATTTTGAGAGAAAAAGATTTTTCTCTCTTCGGGTCAAAGTTGCCATGTTTTTTTACAATAAACATCAGACAGAGCAATGTCACTTTAAAACGTATTCCTTAATCATTTACGATTGACATGTTCACATAAAAAGTGTTTGTTTCCAAACCTATTGACACAGGATCTACAAGAATTTTTTCGTCATTTATAAAGCACCGAAACAGTTTGGTTTCTTGCAGTTATGTGAGTTTTCTCGACACGACACGAGAACAATAAACCTTTGCAATACATTTTGATGTAATGAACGATGTAGCTCCTTTGTCTAACATTTTGTCGATGAAATTGTTCATTGACAGGTCAGACAGCAGTAAGCCTTTACGTATGGGTTAGAACACATGGACCCTCCATTGACGTTGTTCTTGATGTAGTAAGCCTTAATGTCCACACAGGGCACACTGAATACACCTCTGTCCAGACAATCTTCGAAAACGGGTACCTCCTCATCTGTCTGCTCAAAGTTTTCGACTACAAAACAGAAAGAATAATATTTTACTATGACAGTAAAAGGTGTTGAAAGCAATATAATTAATTTTATTAATAAATCAATAACGATTCAAGCATCATTCGATCAACGACTACAAGGACGGTGATCGAGACGTATGAAGTGGGATCCGAGAATAAGGTTCAATAAGGAGATAATCTATAAAAAGAAACTGTCCAATATTTTGTTAAGTTAAGATTAAGGATTATCAACCAGTTACCCCTGTGTGATGTTGACAGAAAGAACCGTTCATTCAAACATATTTTATTTACACAAAATAGTGAAAGGGATTGGGCACACTTTCTTACAACTTACTAGACCTTCTCCTAAGAAAAACCCTTCACCCACGTGTACAACATTTGGAGGTTTAGCACTACACTTCTCCTGTGGGTTTTAATTTCTCTATTGACACACAGGAGTGCTTGTTTAGTTCTTCAGCACCTATCTATCGTTATAAATACTCCAAGTTGTAATAGTAAACCCGTGGTACAGCGCAATCATCAATAGCGCATGAAATATGTAACAGAATTGATGATGCAATTTTATTGTGATTTATTTAAAACTATAAAAGATGTGGTGAAATTTCATGATAAAAATCACTTGTCAGTGGTCTTTCGCTATGTACGTACATGTAAGATACATAATACAAGGGAGTCCACATCACATCAAATAAGTTGATAAAATTTGAAAACAAGATCATGCTATTAAAATCGTCCATAAAGTGTAAAGTACTTGGCCTAAATTCGCATTAAGAATTTATCTCAAATTCACAATTTACGCAAAACCTTAATCTAAGACTAGCAAAACACATTTTTGAAACATTTTTGACGAAAAAACCCATTTGAGTACATATCTTATAATGAGCAGTAAGTAAAAAAGAATATTGAAATCCGGCTCTATATGCATTATTTGAACAAATAGACGATCCTTGCCCTTACATTGGTATCATTATCAGATAAAGTATTGTATCTAGTGCGATTCGATTTCAATATTACCCATAAGACAACAAAGTGTGCTAAGTCAAAAGGATGGGTAAAATTTTGTACTTATTCCATTTTGCCAACATCCAAAGCAGAGGCTTCCATAATAATATTAAAGGAATATTGATAGAGTAAAGAAAAAGCCTCAACTTAACTACAACATTTTGTTCCAATAGGTATAACGGAAAATCAAAACAAAGAACGTACACTTTTGAGATCACTATACTTTTGTTTAGTTCGTGATGAAAGGATAGGTCAATGGAAAGTAAATACTGCTGTAATCTCGAAAAACGTTTCGTGAATATGGATACTTATTCATTAAACGACGCATTAAAGAGAATGCTGAAGAGTTAGTTTCAGAACAATCAAGTAAATACCACAAGTTTATTGTAGAAAGAATGAATTGCGTTTTTAATAATCTCATTTTTATCTATTTACAATGCACTATATATCGATGATATTCTTTGCGTTTACGATACGTAAATTATAAAATTGTAAGACTTACTTTGATAGGACATACTGATGACGGACACCGCTATCAGGACGAGGAGGAGGGTAGCACGGACAGTGGCCATTTTGCTGTCGTGGACTGGCTAGCCTGTACGTTACTGGGACTCACTATAAATCACCTTTGTTTATTGAACTGTTGGTCAGTTCTAAATGACGTATAATGATTTACACAGCTAACTGAAAATACAATCAACTAAAAATCTATATTTGAAGTACTTAGTATTTAGATATCTAACTAAAATTAATTTGCAAAAATGACATAATAATTGTTCTAATACTTTGATTCTGGCTGCAAACGTAGAAAATATTTTTGTAGTTAAAGGAAATTTGTTAAATGTATTTTTGATATCATAAGTAAAGCATCGTTAAGCTTACATAGCCTTGAGGAGTCTTGTCATAGGAATTACCGATTAGTATACGTACAGACCATGAGCTGTTTAGTCTTAAACTAAGGGCGATTACCGTTAGTGTTTAAGCCTTCCAATGTGGACAATGGTCAACTCAAGATTAATTGATTGACTGTGGTATGTAGAAACATACAAACAGTTAGTTTTTTCTTGTCTCTGTCGTTAATACGAAGCAGTGTA